TCCCTGAGAAGCTGGATGTATGCCTCAGTGAGTTCATTATACCACTAGAACAAAAAATGGTGAACAATATAAGCCATCTTCTCTCAGAGGAATCCTCTCAAGTGTGGATCATTATCTCATAAGACCTGAATGCACGCAAAAGCTATTTATTGATCCCAAATTTAAAGTGAAATGGTTTGGTGTTTCATTAATCCTTTCATAATAAATAGGACAAAAAATGGCTGCTTGAAGACTCTAAACTTATCTTCAATTCTTGCAAAATACTTTACGACTGGGGCATAGCAAAAGCGTGAAACCTTTTTTAACACAAGGATAGAAATTAATTATAGAAATTATCCTCAAGGGGATATAAAATTCTCTTTATTATATGGAAATAGTCCCGTTTCTAAGGTATAATAATTTCATTGACCGCAGCAGATGTACTATGCGCAGATATGTTGTCACCATTTGGTATATTAACCAGTATTTGTTGAGTCAATGTCTTAGTCAGTGAAGATTATGTGGATAATATTTCCTTCATTCAGGGTTAAATGCCATTTTTCTGTTAGTGAGAGTAGTAAAAGTTCTAGTGAACCTCCATTCCTGAAGTCATTGGGCAAGTGGTTATCTCAAGGTCTACAATATAACAATGCAAAGGCAGCTGTCAATTCATTTTGTCAGTGGTTATTAGTGATGTTGTGTTGCAGAAAAGAACAAGGTGTTAAAAAACGTACAAAAAACTTTAATCATAAGATACACAACTACTAACTTAGCCTATCCTAAATAACATGGACAACTAAATATATTTTTACTGCTAGTTACATAGCATTACCTAAGGAAAGGTGATCACACTAAATTCTTCGCAAGTTAACATTCGGGTCCTATTTGCAATCAACACCACAAGCGAGAGGCAATTGAGACTTTACATACACAGAGCAACAAAACAACGAGATTTGTGATAATTATAATTCCCATCAACATCGTGGCGGTTTTAAATTTTTACGAATGGTTTTTCTTCAGTTACGAACCTTCTCCTCTAGAGGTGATTGCTCACTCGTGAGACATAACATGCGAAGATAAAATTAGTATCACGCCAGGCTACGCAATATATTATCCATGTAAATATTCTAGAACTCACCAAAAATGGCTTTATTTCCTTGACCATTTGGAGGTAACATCAACGTAAACAACTGAAAAAAATCAGAAAATCAGTCCCTTCTCATTGGTATGATAAGAAAACTACAACCTGAAATAAAAGAAGAATTACCAAACGAAACACAAAACACCAAGTACTCAACGGCAACGACTCACTCAGCCCAGCTTAATCATGGCCGTGTTATGACCAGCTTGCTCAAGATGGCCACGATCATCATGGGATGTTGTCATAGAATTTGTACTCTGCGCAATTGCGGAATAATTTACCAGACAAACCTGGCCAACTCATTGTAAAACTAGCACATAATCCACATGGGAGTTAATTAGAAGTTATAAAGGTTTGTTTGGTTTTATTAGGGCGACATGTGGCTTACTTAAATCCCCAACCGGTAAATGGAAATAAAAGCAATAAAAATGCGGAGAGAGCAAACGAAATAACATTCTTTAAGAAATGCACACTTGATGCACGTCATGTCTCGAGAACTTTACGATGGTTAGAAAATCTTGAATAGAGAAACCTGTATCTTACGGGACAAACAAAAAAAAGGAGGAGAAGATCATTCTGGTGAAACAAATATTTTAGAGGAAAATAATATCTGCTATCCACAATTTTGGTCAGGGAGAAACAGTTAGTTTTCAATGAGAACCCTATGGAAGCAACAAAATGGCGGCCGAGTGCGAGAAATGCTAAGATTCTATTTTTTTCCTTTCTTTTCCTTGTTTCTATTTTCAGTTAAGACAGTTCGTTGTTGAAATGGGACTTCTGCCTTGAGTGTTGTAATTAAAAGAGGTCGGTCTCGTAGATGCCGAAGAATGTTTACTTCTTTAATAGCAAACGGCTGTGAAAAAATACAAGTCTTGAGTTTAAAAATGGGCGTTCTTGTAGCCCTGGTGCATCATTTTGACAGAGAGAAAAAAACAAGCTAGAAAAGTTAAGGTTGGCTCGAAATTGACCCGCGACTTGAACTTGACTCGGGTTTCGAACTTAACTCGTGAAACGAATAAAAGCCTAAATTGTAACGCACGCAATCATGAAAGCTTTGTGTTTTTCAGTCGTAGCTTTTCTCCACCAACAAATCCTGCATTTTCACATCACACCCATCAACAGTAAATGTTATGAGATTCGACGCAAATGATTTCACCCTTTTACACCTTTATAATTTAGAGTAAAACATTTTTAAATATCTAAGTTTGACTTAGAAAAGTAAACACACTAGACACGAAAACTTGGTATGGAAAAATTCATGTGGCATTCCACTGTTTTAACCCAAATAGATGTCATCACCGAAAAGGAGGAAAAAGGAAAAACGCGTAACAAGGAAGCAGTTTCCTCGCTCACAGAGCACTTGAAAGATGGCTAATTAGAACAATCATGTCGGCAAAAAGCCCGACGAATGTTGTGTTAAATGGCGCGTGACCGCTTGGGACGCCAAGTGGAACAAATAGATTCATATTCGATATTGCTTACCAGTTAGAAGCTTTGTGTGGTGAGACGTAGAAACTACTTTTCCTCGTGAAACAACCTCGGCGAAATCGCGTCCCTCTGACAAATTTGTATCGTCCTGTTTGGACGGTGCACGACCCCTATTCAGCGGTGAGCAGAGTGAGTGACTCTGATTGATGTTTGGTTGTCAGGGAAACGACCGCATGGGAAGCTTATGAGGATTTATTTGAGCCCCTGTGTTTACCATTGGGCATTTAAAAATTGCAATTGTTATCGTTAGTCGTGAAAAAAATCAATCGGAAAAATTTTCCCATCTTCAATATGTTATTGAAGTCAACCGTTAGCCGTAAAGTGTCGAAAATTTTAACCGTTAGCCGTAAAAGCCATCATGCCGTTGAGACTCGCCTGCTAACGAGGTGTATCCCTACGATTGGTTAATATGACGATTGACATTCCCTGAAATAGGAAAGATTCAATTTTTCAAACTGGAAAAGGAAAAAAAAATTAATAACGAGTGCAGAAAAGCATATTTTACAAAAATGCTAGACCCTGTGAGCAGGGTAACTGGGATACCTGGATGGTAATGGATCCTTGGGATCAAGTGTAGTGATACTACGGGTGTCGGACTAGTATATTGAAATAGTGAGCTCAAGTCTGGCCAAGGGCATACACCGATTTCAAAACATAGGCATGCTATGCATGCAAGAGTTATTTTTTATAGGGTGGGTGGATTACTTGAAACATTGTAAGTGATGTCTACATTCTTACAAAAGGAAAGAAGAGTACTAGCGCGGAAAAGAACAAAAATGTCGAATTAACTCACACACAGGTATTTTGTGGTAGATTGTGTGTGTTGTGCGAATAAATGTAACCAAAAATAAACTGTATTGGTGCCACGGATACCTGTTAGTACAAAATGCAGACAGCAGACTGCAGAGTGGGTACAAAATGCAGACTGAGAATCTGAAGAGTTTTAACGTCTGGTATATAATAACATGTCATCTTACAGCTTACCGAGCGTCACGCAATTGCTTTTCCGCCATCAGCTTTCACGATTATTTGCACTATTGTGGAATATTCCTGGCCCATTTCTTGACGAAAATCGACCGTAATATAATTTCAAGCCTTCAATATATATATGTTATTTGCCGGCTGGGAGGTTCGTATGGTGAAAAACTGTGAC